TAAAGGTACATTTACATTCAATTCAAAGTTGAATTGGCACAAGAATTTACGAAACTATCATTTACATTGCACGCGCCTTACATTCTCCTAACCTCACAATTAACGGTCAGCTGATTACTGTTTACATTTTATAAGTTGTCTTGTGGTTATTGAGAAATGAATAATAATCTCCATAAAGCAGTTATTTTGGGTTCTTTGGGTGTTGCAGTAGCCTTGCTAGCTCGTGATCGTGAAAATAAAAATAAAAAACAAGTACGTCGAAAAAGGAAGATGTGGGTTAAAGACATATACTTGAAAAGAAAGGAACAGGGCTTATTTAACAATTTAATTAAAGAGATGCAACTAAGTGACCCTGTCTTGTTTTTCAATTTTGCACGCATGAACGCCACCTCATTTGAACGTTTACTATTGCTGTGTGGAAATTATCTTACTAAACATTCACCAAGAGAAGCTATACCACCTTCGCTTCGCTTGATGCTAACGTTGAGGTTTCTTGCTACAGGCGACTCATATCCAAGCCTAGCCTATGCATTTCGAGTCCATCCTTCAACTATATGTAACATTGTATGGGAAACATGTCATATTTTATGGGCCGTTCTATCTCCAACATATTTAAAGCCACCTTCAGAAGAGGGCTGGCTAAAAGTGACACAAGACTTTTACAACTTATGGCAAATGCCCAATACACTCGGCGCAATGGATGGGAAACATATTAGAATCCGAGCCCCGTCTAATTCAGGATCAAGATTTTATAATTATAAAAAATACTTCAGCACAATTTTATTTGCTGTATGTGACGCCAAGTATAATTTTATCTATGTGGATATTGGTTCTTATGGAGCTCAGAGTGATGGTGGTGTATTTAGAAAATCCAGTTTGGGGCAAAAATTATTATCAGGGCAATTAAACTTACCAATAGGTTGTCCTTTACCAAACGATCCCAACAATTGTACTGTTCCAACATTTTTTATTGGTGATGAGGCCTTTCCTTTGCTGACCAATCTATTAAGACCTTACAGCAAACGGGAGAAACGTATGCCTGAAGATCAACTTATTTTTAATTATCGGTTAGTTTATAGTAAGTATCATGTTGATATCTGAATATTTTTAAGGTTGTCAAGAGGAAGACGGGTCATTGAAAATACCTTTGGCATTATGGTTGCCAGATTTCGAATATTTCTTCGCGAAATACATGCTGAACCAGAAACAGTTGATGCAATTGTTAAAGCAGTTGTATGCCTGCATAATTTTATTAAAAGTGAGAAAATTGACATGTATTATAACAGTTCAGTTGTAGACAGGGACACAAATGGTACTATTCAACCTGGCAGTTGGCGAGATATGGTCAGTGAAAATACAGCATTTCAATCTGGTACTGTACGTTTTGGGAACCGGAATGCTGCTAAGGCTGCCTGGAAGCTTCGTGACTACATTAAAGAATATGTAAATGGCGTTGGGGGTGATTTATGTCCATGGCAGTGGGATTGTATAAAAAGAACTGAATAATGTAGTACATAGAAAATAAAATTTATTTTGAAATTCACATTTAAATAGGATTTTAGGAATATAAAAATAACTTGTGAATTTACATTTACACAATTTTTCTTTTTGTTTGTAATAATCTAATTAATGTTTCATCCATAAATTCATTCGCTTTATCATATGGCCACTCTCGAAGTTCTGCACACAAATACCGTGCAAAATCTGTGAATTTATCATTGGCTACTGCACTGTTGCTCACCTTCTCAATTGAATTGCTAACTTTGGAAAGTATTTCAATTACAGGATCTTTTCCATTATCTTGGGTAATTTTCCGCTTCTGTGTTCGTCGAGGGGGTGTACTGCAAGCTGAAGTTGATGGCAATACAGATGAACTCATTTCATTAGATGGCACAAGTGTCACATCCGCAGCTTCTTCAAGTTCAATACTACTAAAAAAACAAGTTTTTTATTTACAATTACTTGCATAATTAATCACAACTCACCTTCTACCTGTATCGCTCAATGAACTGGACTGCGTACTAAAAATCGCACTATTAATTATTTGTAATGATATTATGAACTTACCTCCTTGGTGTCACATCATCATACATATATTCAAAGAATGACATAAATTGCCATTTATTGGTTTGGAATGCAGGAGCACCACTTCTAGACATCATTTCTAATTTATGTTTTTCCCGATTGTATTTCTCCTTAAGTGATTTCCACTTTCTTTTACAAATGTCGACTGCAAATTATACAATATAATTATGCTACATGCAGTTAGGTACCGAGTACTGACTTACCAGTTGTTAGCATGGTACGGGCAATATTTTCATAAGCCGTTTCTTTTAACATTCTGTTACTATATGCCTTGCTGCTTGGGTTGTAAATCGCAGGGTAGTTGCAAATGCATTTTAGAAATAATTCTTCATTAAACTCAGGTATTTCTATCACCACCTCGGATTCACTCTCAATACAATTCATATTGGAAGTCAAAGTATCAATACTATTGTGCCAGCTACGAAAACAATCTCCTAGTTGCAGAACTTTAATTAAAACGTGATTATGGATATGGATAACAATGTAAACAATCAAAAAATATTGTCAAAAAAGAACACTAACCTATAAATTTAACGTTCTGCTTGAATTCTTCAAGCGTGCTTGCGCCACTTCAAAGTGCACTTCGAAGTGCGCTTCAAATTTCCGCTTATGTAAATGGTAGTATGGCCACCACATTTGACAAGCTGTCACATATCAAGAGAAATTCGACTTTGAATTGAATGTAAATGTACCTAACGCTGAACGCTAACGATAAACGCTAAACGCTAACGCTAAACGTTCAAGCAGCGAAAATTTGATGTTTAAACATTATCATAATAAAAACAAAAGAATAACATCAAGCGACTTAATTTTTTTATCAACTTTCCATAAGAAGTAACTAAAACATGGAATATCTCGGAAACCGTTTGGAGCAGCTTTTGACATTTTGCATCAAATTAAAGGTCTTGGAAAAAAGAAAACAAGGGTAAAGAACAAAATGGGGGGTGCCATTTGAAAAAATGGAGTTACGGATATTTAAAAGTTTAAAAGTTGAGTTGAGAGCTTTGAAAAAGTGACGTAGTCTCACTTTTTTAGACTCTTACGTTACGCATCCCATAAGAAAATTCGATCTTTCCTTAATAAAGCATTGAAAACTATTTTGCAATATCTCTCACCGTTTTCGAATAATAAATTTTTAAAGTTAGGTAAGTTTTTTTTTTTTATTGTAATATCTAAAATTACCATACCTCCGTAACCACGGAAGCATTTAAACAAAAAATATTAGCACATACGTAGTTTTTTATGTTGATTCAAAATTTAAAATCAAAAGTGCATCATTTCATTTAAAATGTCAAAAAAGTTACTCCCCCCTCTAAACATTGAGAAAAGACACGGTTTTCGAGATCACGAGAGAGAAAGAGCATTTTATTTCAACCACGAATGTGGTGTAACTGTCACGCAATAACAACATAAATAAAAAACACAATAAAGTGCAATAAATAATATAAATAGGTATCCCTGCAAATTCAATTTTTGACACAAAAACTTGAATATCGGCGAAGCCCTTGGAGCAAACTATGGGGTATCGTTGTACTCCAAATTTGACGTAGAATCCGAAAATGTAGAAAAATAGGGGGTCCCTATTTAAAATAACAAATTTGATGGTTACTTCCGGTATTTCCGGAAGTGTCGCCATTTTGAAAATATTTTAGTTCAATTCATCATGTGCCAAAACCCTTAAAGGGCTTATCAGTTTATTTTCATTTTCAAAGATTTTCCATATCTTTCTAACTGACGCTCGTCAAGAATGACCCTGTAGAGTTTCTGTTCAAGTTCATAGTCACACAAGTTGCGCATTTTGGGAATGTGAACCGCGCACACCTCATAGATTGATGTTTTTTTAAATTTTTTTTAAAAATCGAACAAAGGGAAATTACATTGTGTGCAAACTCCTATATTCGCATTTAAAAAAAACTCACTGTATGTTTGATAGATCGTGGAATAAGTTTTTATTTAACAAATGTACAATGTTTATTGCAGCATCTAACTAATCTCCAGGATAACGTGTAGAAGGTACATGACAGTGAGGGTGTTACACAACGATTAAGATCCATATTTTTTTATGATCAGGGAAAGTGTTTACATTTTCACCTACTGTCATTTCTTTAACTTGTTCTTGATCGGAGAAACTATTGACATTTTCATTTGATGTATTTGGGAAAATTAAAGGAACCGAATTAGCCTTTTACTTACACGAAAAACGTTTCTGTTTTAACGTCCTTGTTTTTGAAGTTATAAACTAAAACTGCATCAAATTTCTTACAATAAAACTTCAGCGGCCCCTTTTTACTTAATTATATAAAAGTAACACAACTAACACAAAATTGCATAAAACCTCTATAAAACATAAATCTAAATCTCGTAAAATTGACGTGTGTCAAAGTTCGTTTCAGAAAACGCACAACTGTCTTGTGATGGCGCTGTTGATGTTCAGATGTTGGCTTCATAAATTTTGTCTTTGCAAGCATGAAGCAATCCAGTTATTTTTTCATCCAATCTCATATCCAAGCTCTATGCTATCAAACGTTTTCCATAACAGAAATTTTTTAACGTTGGTATTTTTCTCTCTCTCGCTTTGGTTCTTTCTTTAATTAAGCAGTCTGTGGTTTTGCGTTTCGAAGTTGGCAATGGTAAATTGTCAATTCGTTGTGTAATTCCATGAAAATATTGTAAAATGTTAAAATTCAAGAACTCCTAAAGCTATAGTCAATGGATTATAGATAAAAATCTATTTTTAAATGGATTTGTGAATTTTTCTTTATGCCGGCTAATCGTGTAAAAGCATGACAAAAGAAATTAAATAACGGACTTTGTGTATGTGTCACGAAGTAGCCATTTTGCTATACAAATGTTTGCCTGCACTTTAAATGTAAACATGAATCTCGTTTTATCGAATTTAATTCTTACAAAATATCTTAAATGTGAATAGAATATGACTTTTCGGTATCGAAAAAGTAAGTACCGTCTTTTTGATTGTTTTTATGCCATCTGGAATGGTCCTTGTAATCATCTTGCAAAGTTTGATTTGCCTATTTTGGCGCCAATTTGAATACCCTGAAACAAACTAAAAGTGGTCTTTTTAGAATAACGAAAATGGCTGGCAGTGAAGGCTCAGGACAAACAGATTTACTAAGTGGTTGGTCGTGTGTTGTGCACAGACCAAGCGAAGATCCTGAGCCCTCCGAATTGCCTAGTACTGTAGATATGGCCGCCTTCAGTTCTGGATTAAGTGTTGAACCCACTCAAAATCCTAACAATGAAGACTCTTGCGACTCTGACAGTGATTCGGATTCAGACTCAAACGTAAGTTACAAATGGTTCATTGCTTAATTTTTTTAATTCATTTGTTTTACAGAATTCCGGCAGTGACGTATCAGGTTCATGCAGCCAATCGGATTCGTCAGATTCAGAAAGTTCCAGCTCCAGTCCGGAATCGTCGTCTCGAAGTTCTTCTCCCGAATTTTCCGTTACAAGTTCACAAACAGACGGGCTACGACTTAAAATTGCGACTGTACGGAAATCATGCACGAGTCCTGTTGAAAAAACAAAAACTTTTGGAGATGCAAAATTTTGTGATAAACCTCAAAATGTACAGACAAAAGTTAGCAATTTAAGTTCGACATCGGATAGTCCGAGTAGTTCCAGTAGTGAATCAGAATCTCAATTGAATAATAAAAACAATGTTAGTGCAGTGCACAGCGAAAAAAGTAATGGTGAGAAAAAGCCCTCTGTTAAAGTGCAAACTACTTCGGTGGAAAAGAAGACTGAGGCAAAACCAGTTAAAGTTAATGCAGTAGCAGTAGCTAAACCTGCTAAGTCCAAAATTAGATCAAAAAGAGCTCAAAAGGTATGTACCTACAAATAGTATTCTAGATTATTTATAGTAGGGGAGTCCAATAGGGGATTTTGGGATTTACTCGACCATGTCAGGTTCAAGTAAGTGGTTAACTACATGTTGAAAAGTGTGCATTTCAGTAATGTTGCGATTTGAGCATCACACAAGGGAGTGGGAAGGTAACAAACTTGCAAAAAAATCGTTCAGTTGCCATTTTCGAGCGTGTTGGATTTTTTTTTATTTCGAAGGAAATAATTCAAGAATGACGATAAATATAATCTTGTCGATTTCCAAAGTACAACAAAGTCTAATTGTCAATAAGGTGTGTTCAGCAGGTGAAACAGATAGATATTAAACAAGTGCAGACGCACCCCCACCGGTGAATGGATGTACATCATCTAACTTTTTCCCTTTCTACCATCTAATCTACATAGATGAATAGGTTCCTACGACGTTTGAGTAAATCCACATTGAGTCGTGGGCTCCCCGACTATTAGTATATAATCACATGGGACTAAACATATGTTGAGAGTTGTTAAATATTTTTTATTGAATTACTTGTACTCGCAGACCTTCTTCTACGTGTCGCAGGAAGTCTGGTCCATCAGGACAACAAACTGTTGCCCTTTAGGATCCTCCTTCCGGTCTACTGCATTTCAGGGATTTGTGTACTTAGTCGCTTAAGTATCCTTTTCTTGTTCCTCTATTTTTAACTTTTTTTTTCTTGCGCCGTATTTATTTGTAATACAAAATCACACTCAATATAGTATGTACTGGGTGACCCAATAAGACTGTTCCTCTGTCATATCATATCTCGGGAACCGTTCGTCGTATGACTTAGGGGTAAAAAAATTGATTATAAAGAATCGCTGGAAAATATTTTCAAGTTCTAAAAATGACCACCAGAGGGCGTAACTGCCATCTTAAATTTTAAAATTGCATTTTCTTTCAATTTCGCGTAATAAACTAAACATTCTTTTTTCACATTTTTAAAGAGAACCAGTTTATGTATCATTTTTGTAAAAACAAAAACTCAGTTATTTCAAAAACAAAGATAGTGTGGGGCGTTTAATTGTTTTTCTCGTTGTTTTTGCAATAACCTGCTTTATCTGCTTAACCGTTTGTAACAAATATGATATCGTTGGAAAGAGCATTCCTTGGGCAATAAGAATCATCCAAAATATAGTTAATTTAGTTGAATCCTTCTCCATCAGGGGGCTAGTTTTGACTGACCGAAAACCCCAAATGGGCAAAGTGTATAATATGTATTAAGATTGATTAAAAATTAAAAAATTCTAGTGCTGAGATGATTTTAAAAAAAGTTCTTCCGAATTTTATTAATGAAACTAAAATTACAGGAATTTAAATTGTATTCAAGTTGTATTTATTAGTTGAAATCTCAGTTGAAATCATTTAAAATCACTTAAAATCTGGTGTAGGTACCATGTTTAAAGGAAAATTCCTCTTTGGCTCGCTCTTTGGCTAGGGTAGTTTTCAAAAAAACATTTCTGAGAGGGCCTTTCGTCGCAAGCCCTGATATTAGCATTACATATTGCAGAGAAAAAATTTATACGTAAAATGAACCCTCGAATGAATGAATGAATCAGTGTTGCATGTATAGGTAAAATAATAAGTTTTCCATTGCACATCATTAATTTTATGTTCGACTCGATCATAATACGCTGAGTTATGACACTGTTTAGCGTCCATAATCTGCTACTTTATTGGACTAGTCCATAATGATAAAGTAATTTGGACTCCTGTCACTGTCAATTTCTTTGGAAAATGCATTTTAAAATAACGATCTGTTTTAAAGAAGAAGTACACGGAACAGAATGTTATAATTTTAAAAACACATATCTATATTATACATTTCAATAATTATACTAAATTAATTGTAATAACACAGTTGTTATTGTTGGTAATGTTAATTCCCGATGTACCCTTTTGATGCAATATTTCTGTGGTCTCTACGGCTTTTAAATTTATAAACGAAGAATTTGCCATAACGGTTTCCGTTCCCAAAATTTTGCTGGCAACACTAATTTTAGAATTGTCAGATTGGTCAATATAGCCTTCCGCAATAGTTGATGAACGCCATCCTCCATGGCGCTTTATATCCTCCAGTCGTGCTCCAGCATTTGCCAGAATATTGGCCGATGTATGACGAAAGCAATGACTCGTGTACGCTGATGGATTTTCTACTTTAAAAATTTGGCCACAATACTTGGTACACTTGCAATTTTGTGTACCCCTATTGGTTGCACCGTGCATTTCTCTTTCGCGTAGTTCACGAAAAACCTGCGATGAGGTGTCTTTGGAGAACGAAGTGCCATGTATTTTCGAATTAAGTCATGACAATCATGAAAGATCGATCCGTCTTTGTTTTCGTTTCCACAAGTTTGACTATAAAGTGAGCTTTATGATCTTCAATATTCGTGGTCTCCAATGAAACTAATTCCTGTCGCCTGCATCCGCCAGCTACTCCGAATATAAGAACTATCTAAAAATAGTAAATTATTATTCAGGGCATACCCTTAACAGACATGTAGGTACCTTTTTAACAAATGTTCTTTATTACTAGCTTTCAGCAAAAACGTATTCACATTTTCTCTGTCCAATGTCAAAGACTTCTTAGCTTTATGACCTTCTCCTTTTCTTTTAAGGTAAGGAATTAGGCTGGGAAATTTGCTTATATCCACTCCCTCATTTAAATTAATTGTCGATCGTAACATCGAGTACTTACTCCATAAAGAAGAACTTTTATAGGAGACCAACTCACTATTAAAGTACGCCAATATACAGTCTTCCGTGGTGCAATTGATTTTCTTCCCCCAGTACCACCTTCTGTATTCCCTGTATGCCGCCTCGTATACAGTTTTTGATTTGCTTGGTAAAAGCATCTCTCTGGCATTGCAGGCTAATTGTTGTATACTGTTGGACCCATCAATTTCTTCTGGATTCATAATTAGGGCACAGAGAATTAGTTAATACCCAACAAAATTGACACTACACATCAACAGATTTTTTTCCAAACAACACGTATCTATGACAACACAAAAGGCACACTATGTTATTTCTGGTTATTAAATAATGAAATCTATACCAAATTTCAGCAAATTTTCAATACATACATGAACTACATTTTCCGAGTCGAACATAAAGCTAAGTATGTTACTCGTACATAATCAGACTTTATTATCTCGTCTTTTTCATTGGCCTCGCGCGCAAGCGCGCTCTGCCAATAAATTCGACTCGTCCAATAAAGTCATAGATTATGTACTTGTAACATAAATAGCTATTCTGACGTCGTTCTTATGCAGCGTTGACATTTAGTATACCTCGTAGTATACTATAGCACCTCGTATAGCACAGATCTACACATACTGTGACTATAGTTTACAAATCATTGTATCTACTGCTTGCACATTTGACCTACTAATCATGTAGTGTCAACAATTTTAGAATCGCTTTTACGTGCATGAAATTACCTTTAATTTACAGCTATAAAACCACACGTTTTTTATAGCACCCCACCCAGTACCTACTCATAGTTAATATATCCATACAATCTTCAAAACTTGAATCAAATAAACATTAACACAAGGAAATTATACAAAAATAAACCCACCAGACAACCTATATAGGTTACCAAATCTTAGCTCTATATTCAGTTGTCATTGCAAAACGCCGGATTTCCTAGTTTGCCGTCTATGTAACATAGTCCAGTCAAATTAGCGCAATTTTGGGCAAATAAAAACATTAATTGCAAAGGTAACAAGGGACCTCAATGGTGACGCTCTTTTTCATAATACAGAATTAAAGTTGCTACCATTTTTTTAGCACTGCTATCAAAATTCTTTGTCATCGTAATAAATAACACTTCACAGTACGACAAAAAGTTGTTCTGAAAAGAACAGTTTGGTTTGTGGAATTGAGAAGCTTGATAAAAAGGCAAGAAACTACGATAAACTAGACGATTCGAAGCACCCACAAGGTGAGAGATAGCAACATAACCTGACATGCATAGTAGAGAGTCGCGCCAACGTCGCATTTCTGTGCCAACTGTATAATTTTAAATAAACTGTTTTTAACTTATTATAACAACACATCTCATTTAAATATTTAGATTGGTACGTGACATTATTCCAGTAATGACGTGCAACGGCAAACTTGTTATTTTACTTATACTATTTGAGAACGTAAAAGTGATCTTTATTGTGCTTTTGTTTTGGATAAAAATAAATCAGTTTTATGACGCACACAAAAATGCCAAATGCCATTGAAACCATTTTCGACCCCCTTCTATATTTATGGTGATGTAAAAGGTATTTCATACTTTTCAGACATTCCATCTCGCATTCCATAGATACTACTATACACCAGATAATGATGAGTCTTGAAAGGACTCAATAATTGATGGGATCATATTTTTTGGGAAGTAGTCCAAGGTGGCTATTCGTTGGTGACCTTGAGGATTGCCTTGACCATTTACTCTATGCTTGACCTCAATCTTCAAGGTTATTCCGAGAACTTTGAACGAGGCTCCCTGGTTTTTAACTCTGAAATGAAAAGTGCGGAAGTGTTACCATCAGACAGTTTCTTATATATCAATTGTTTTGCACGATCAATTAATGTAAAAATCTTAACACGAGAAATTTTTTGTAAGTTACGATATGATCGTTTGCTTGTTCTTATCGGTTAGCGCCAGACATGAAACGGCGACATGTCCGGGCTGCATGAGGAATGCTGGAGAGGACCTACCAGTTGAAGTTCCTTATTTTCGCCCTAATCGTACGGACTCCGTAATTTTCCTATTGAATTGTCTTGTTTGTCCCTTGTCTTACAGGTACCCACGTCCTAACCAGAAACGTGTCAAGCACTTTTTCACTGTAAAACTGTTGTCACCATACACAACACCCATTCTGTGATGAATCTCGATCGGCTACACCTCTTCAGTTGTTAAAAAATGCACAACACCTCCCTGTTACTTTAAACAATTCTTACACGGACTGCGAATACCTTGAATACCTTCATGACATAACTGGGAGGGGGGGGGGGGGGGGAGGACAACAAAATTTGATGGGAAAACCTACAAGGTATAGTTCAGGATTCTGGGACAATTCCCTTAAAAAGGAAACAGATACTTGTGTAGCATTGAAATCTTTATAATTTAGTTCTCTTTAGTATACATTTTTAGTTTACCGTAATCACCAAACGCAATTTTGCCAAACTGTAAAAAGGTTGTTATAACTATGGACCGGACTTATATGCATGAAAATAAGTCAAAAATGCACATATATATGCGCAAAAAAGCATGAAAAATTAAATAATGCACAAAAATCATTGAAATTTCCTTAATTCAACATTTCCCCAGCCAACATTCGTCATCTCATTTGTTGAACTTGAAAATGTGAGTGCAGTATAAATTAAGGCTGAAGTGAACACCGCCGATAAACTTGGGCGCCATATTATTTTTTTTTATTTCATTTATTTTTTTTTATTCTTTTCCTTTTCTAGTTGTTTTTTTTTTATTTTTTTTTTCAATTTTTATTGTTTTCTTTTGTTCTGTTTCTATTTTATAATGCTTATTTTATTTGATTTATTATTTGTTTATCTTTATAATTTACAAAAAAAATATAATTGTTGCAATTACTACCATTGGAAACTTGTTTTGTAATAAAAAAGGTTTAAAAAGTTAATAAAATGCTAATCTTTCTTAAATATGCACAAAAATCCCAAAAATGCAAAATATGCACTGTTTTCTTTGCGCCAATGTGATTCCTTTTTGTTAGTTCGTGTAGGTAAATAATTATTTTATTTTGAGCTGCATACAATATTTACGGATTGCGTAAAAGCATGAAATCCGGTCTCTAGTTATAACTTATGTGTGCGCCTGCGATAATTTAAATTCTTAACGTTTGTGTTTAATTTGCTTTTATAAGAACATATACAGAGCGTTTCCGATCGCGTGGGATTGCATGGGTAACTTTCTTATTATTAAAGATAGACAATTGGTTAAATGGACAATGGCCCGTATGAATAAAAGTAAGCAAATGCTTATTGCAAAATTCAAAGTAAATACTCGTAAGTGCCCCTTTATACTGGTTTGTTTAGCAGCGCTGCACTGTGTCCTGCCCTTCTGCTTAGCAGCGCTGCTAAGTCGCCCAGTGCGAAGGAGCACTTACGAATATTTACTTTGAATTTTGCCAGTATAAGCATTTGCTTACTTTTATTCATACAAGCCATTGTTTTGCACTTTTAGATGCTTATTTAAAATTTCCTTGTGGAAATTCAAAATGTCGAATAGGTTCGACGTAAATTCAAAAAAATTGGTCATTTCCTTTAACGTCTTATCATCGAAAGTATAAGAGATATAAAAAAAAGTTTTATATAAAAGTTAAAAATTCAAGATGGCTACCTTTGAGGAACATTTACCAACCATTTACAAATTGTTGATTTACCGTCCGTTTATTTACAAAAAATATGATTTCATTTTTTGGGGTAATGTTTAGAAGTAACTTATCTAGAAAACTGTCGGTTTGCTTTTTCCATAAACCGTTTTGTTCGAGAGTAAAAAAATAAAACAGATTAGCGCAATAATCGATGCAAAACATCTAATCTTTCAACAATCGGTATTCAGTTGCTATAAACTTTTTTTAAAAAATAGCCCGAACATTTTGTAGATAAAGGTTTAAATTTATAAAATAGTTCTTAAAAAAAGTTTTTTTTTTTAAAACAACTTGAGTTTTTATGGCGGGCGCTCTTATGGAAATTTACTTGGGTGCAGTGGATACAGAAGACTCTTAAATAGGCGCCATATTGGATTTTTAGATTATTTGATAGATTTTTTAATTCTCTTTTCAACGAGCTATCATAGCATAAGATTCAAAATAAGGTACCAGTTATTTCAACGGTTTTTATATTTTAATCTAGTAGCCTGTGATGAATTAAAAAAAACAAAATCTATTCGAGGCAACAAAACAATGAAAATATTATATGCCGAAGTCTGCAATCCGCCAACATTCTTTCTATTTTAGAACCCCCGGGTCTCTGTAGAAGTGATGGTAGACGAGTAGATGGTTCAACTTTTATTCCATGGAGTAAAGGAAAAATCCTGATCTGGGATGCTACAGTACCAGACACTTTTGCACCATCATATATTCACTCCTATTCCAAAGAAGCTGGTACAATTGCAAAACAAGCTGCTAAAAGAAAACTAAACAAATATAAGGACCTTGTCACAGATAATTACTTATTCGTTCCCTTTGCTATCGAAACTCTTGGACCATGGTGTGATGAAGCAATATATCATTCATTGAAGCTATAGCTATAGCTTATTTTTCTAACTGTGGAGTGTTCAAATCGACATAATGAACATTACTCGTCACAGGGAAACCTACATGTTGTAGTTTCATGCCGAAATCAAGTAAGGTTTTAAATTAATGTATTTTATGACATAATGGGAAGTCATATAATTGGACCGGTAATCTTCGATGGAACTTTAACTGCTCACCATGATTTAGAAATTCTCCAATAAACTTCCTTAAAGGATTTACTACATGTATGTTTTGCAGAAAGGGTTGGTTTATGGTACCTACCAACAACTAAGCTGGCTGCCCAGGTCTATAATAATAGTAATAATAATAATAGTAATGTACACAACTGCTCGAAGCCTTTCTAAAGGCGTGTTATAGCATCAATGGCAACACGTTGCCTAAAGTAAACTATCTTGAAGTGTGTTTCACTAATAATGGCCAGTATTTTAAACTTCTGATGTAATTATTTTCATTGTTTTGTTGCCTCGAATAGATTTTGTTTTGATTTTTTTAAATTCATCACAGCCTACGTGATTAAAATATAAAAACCGTTGATATAACTGGTAGGTATCAATCTTATGCTACGATAGCTCGTTGAAAAGAGAATTAAAAAATCTATCAAATAATCTAAAAATCCAATATGGCGCCTATGGAACTTTAGAAAGTTCCTCAAAAGTAGCCATCTTGAATTTTTTTACATCAATTCTAAATTAAGCGTAACAAAGACAGTAACTTTTGTATCCCACATTGTATATCATTTTGCGCTCTTAATACACAAATAGCTATTTGTGCATGCGCAATCCGATTTTTTGACATCTCTGTTAGTTATGAACCGTATTACATGAAATTTTGTATGTAGGCACCTCGAATAAAAGTAAAACTAATACCGAATCAAAAAATTTGTGTTGCGCATGTGCTATTTCAAATTTTTTATTTGTTTAGATATTTAAATGAAATTTTGTATATACGGACCTCGAATAAAAATAAAACTAATGCCGATTCAAAAATTTGTTTTACAAGCTATGCTGATCTGGTAGGACAGAATCAATCCCTTAAGATGTGTTGTAAAATGATGTATGTTCAAAGATCTCGAGGATCGTTCGGTATTCAGTTGTATCGGATTTTTATTTATGTTACCATTTGTTTAAGTATAATAATAAAAAATGTTTATTTGCAGGTATCACTTTCTCATTGTTCAAGTAGCTCGAGCTCCGATTCAGAAGACTGTTCAGGATCTGATAGAACAATGTTAGCTTCTTGTAGTTTACAAGAAATTCGACAAGAAGATTTGGCAGCTATTTTACCTGATCAGCAAGAATGTGATACTTTTGGAGGATTTGACTGCAGAGCGGACAAGAACTCTCCTCAAACAGGCAAGGGAACGAACATTTTTGTAAATCAAGTTTTTTATTCTCTGCAATTATTAAGAAGTTTGAAACAGTACTGGTACAAAATTTTGTAGTTATTTATTTATTTATGGTCTCCCTCTTGTTGTGGGCCCTCAACAGGGTTTTGTCCAATTACAGAGTGACCTACATAATGCTTTTTAGAGCTGCACCTGCAGAAGATCTTAAGTTGTTCTATACTACTTTGGTATTTACCCTAATTGGGAGTAGCCGGCAGAATGCTCGAATCTGATTTAAGGAAATTCCCATCTTTGCCACAGATGAAAAATTCACCTCAACTCAGGTTCGAACACCCGACCTCCCGGCTGTGTAGCCCAACTTTCTACCACTGAGCCACTCCGTAGGAACAAATAGTTCTTTCTATTTTTCTGGAATTTAAAATTAAATAGTTGTTATTTTATAGGTGATGGTTCTGGTTCAGACATGGAACTTCCTCAACAAGCAGTGAATGCTTTAATACAGAGAACAACTGAAAGTTCAAGCGAATCAGAATCTCGAGTACCTCTGAATCCCAATAGTCTCTATGCAAACAGTTTATTACAACAATTTGTTGCTCAAACTCAATTATTAAACGTTCCAAGTTCGACAACACAATTAAATTCAAAAAATAATGTGATTGCACCTACTTCATCTCAGGTGGACAATACCGGTGTTAAGACGGAAACAGAAAGCACAAAACGTAAGCGTGGTCGACCAAGGAAGACAAATACAAATTCGGCACAAAATAGTTTAAATACTGATAAATCCCAAACTGTAAAATCGGTGTTAACTGCAGAATACTGTGCAAATCCAAATGTTTCACCAGATTCGGGTATTCAGAATTGTTCAGACAATGTTTCTAGTCCAGAATCCAGTCCTATTCCAAATGTAAAATCAAAACTATCTCATGAGATGGAGCAATATTCTAGTAAATCTACAGAAAATGACGCCACAAAAAGTAAAAACAGTTTGATGGCAAATACTGTTAAACCAAAAGAACAGCGAAAATTACCCGTGACGTCTAACAGTTTCGATAGAGTACTATATGGAAATACTGATAGAGTACTTTACCCACCGAGAAGAAAAGTAGGTAGACCACCTACAGGGACCCGTAAAGGACCTGGTCGTCCTCCGAAGCATAAAGTTCAGAACTGTTCATCGGCTTTAGGTACAAACCTTCCCAGTGAAGTTGATATCAGCTCCAAACTTAGTAAGGATCTTGCCGAAATCAAAATTGAAAAAAGCAAAAGTCAAGTAAATACCAATCAAGGTATTGTGAAGAAAGATACTACCGACGTTAAAACTAAGTCAGTTCAGAAGAAAACAAAAGCAGGATTACTGCATGAAATATGCGAAAAAGTTAGTAAGCGTTTAGATATCAGTATTAGAGGATCTCAAAAATCGGAAACAAAATATGAAAAAGTATCAAAAGTTTCAAATGTATTTAAAAAGAGTACAAATAACAGAGTTGTATTAGGGAACAAAAATAAATTAGAGACTGCAAAGCCGAAATATACCACATTAAAGAATTATAAGGTAATGCATAGTAAGCATAAGGGAAAAAAGCATAAGAAATGTAAATTCAAAATCTTAAAACCGATCACAACTACATTGCATGATCCGAAATTAAACGCAGAAATAGACAAACTTGTAGCTGATTTTGTAAAATTTTGCAACATTACGTCTTCGAAAATTTCCAAGGAAAATGTACCTGAGATGCTAAAAGTATTGAAAAAGGCTTCGAAAAAAAGAAAGGCTTCTGATTACAGCGAGCGTAAAAAAAAGAAGCAGAGTATTAATAGTACAGTCAATAAAGAACCGAGTTCGAATGAGCAAAGACTACCTTTAAAGAAGCGGCATTATCATTTGGCTAGCGATGTTACGACCCAACCTACCGATCCTGACAGTGATTTGAAAGCCAAACTTATGAATAGCGTGAAGGATGTTAAGCTTCCAACTACATCGAATAAGAACGTTGTGGAGAAAGTTAAAAATGTAAGCAAAAGTATTACACCTACTAACGTGGTAAACAGTACAAAAATGAGTGACGAATGCGTTACTGAAAATAACGCAGTAGGCTGCTCTACGGCCAAAGTTACTAATTCCGCTAATGACTGCGTGGTAAAAATTCCAAAATCAAAAGCAGTTGGTACTCACATTGATGAAGCAATTGAAGCCTGCATAACAAGATATTCTTCATTACCAGTAGAAAAACAAAATCTCGAACTAACACCACCACCTGTTGTAAAAAATGTGACAGAATCTACTCCTAAACTAACAACCGTTGACACTTCAAGTAAGACAATTACTGCAACTACACCTAAGAAACGTCACAGACTGCAACCTAAAGGGTGTAGTCCGGAAAGAGTTAATGCAAGTGAGAGTTTAGCAACAAAGTCCGACTCGACCAACGATTTAAAACAGGAAGTGAAAACTAAAAACACTCCATTAGAAAACGTAGTTTCTGAGATAAAGGTGAAGAAACATCTATCAACAAAATTCGGCGATATAACCTATAAAAAACAAGAGAAAAAGAATGAATTGGTATCGCAGGTGATCACTCGTAAAAAAAATCGTTTGGAAGATTTAACAATGACTTTAGCGAATAAGGTAAATTCCTCATTAACTGAAGGTGTTTGCGATGGCACCTCAAAAAGAAAAAAGGAGATCGTTAAAGCAGATGAAAGTGAAAATTACAAACGAAAAAAAGAGGTTGGGTCTGATACTTTCAAGAAAGAGGTTATGTCGGATGCTTTCGTTGATAACACTCAAAAATTGAAGAAAGCAACTCCTGTGGAAGTAGATCAAAAAACCAAAAAAGAAAGTATTAATAAAGGTGAGTGTCTGACCGAAGTAGGTAATAAAAGGAAAAAAGAAACTATTCCCGAAATTGTCAGCTCTTCCCAAGTAGCAGATGTTGATGAGGCAGATGATAGCAGTCGTAAGTCAAAGAAAGAAGTTAACAAACCTGAAGAAAACCACACAGATAAACATAAAAAGGATCTGCAGGCACCGGAAACATTATCTCGTGCATCAGTAATCAAGTCCCCAATTTCTAGAAAGACTAAGTCATTGGACCATGAAAAGCTAGACTGCATAATGACAGATAAGCCAACTGGTATTTTTATGCCGACCATTGATATTGAATTGCACATTCCTGCTTCAAAAATACAAACAATGCGTACAGGCGATAAACCAGTTTCAGAAGTACCAGAGAAAAAACCAAAAATAGAAATACCCTGCGTCCATATAGAAAATTTGCAAATTAAAGATACGTATAAACGTTTAAATGAGAGTGACTATAAAAGAATTACCGAGGCAACAGAAATATCTTCAAGGAAGAAAACTAGGAAACGCCGTCCCATTAACCGAACCGGTTTTCCTACGGTTAAAAAGAAGAAGAAGAAAAGTACACCTGATTGTAAGGTTTCTCCTGAAGGTACGTATATGAAATTTCATTATTTTTGTTCCAATCTTTGTCCCGTAATGATTCCCACTAAATTTTTGCTGTATAAGTCGACAAATTGCATCCACATTTATCATATTTTGTCCAAATTACTTAACCAACCTCGCAAAGTTATGATAGCTGTATGATGCACTGTGAAGGGAACATCAAATCATAGTTCCTTTTGGATATTTGGTTACAACTTCAACAAAACTATCCAGCTGTCATTTCTAATGGAGTAGCTATATAGGTACAATCACAGACAAAAAGTGAAAGGTTTACTAATCAATTTGGCAAGAAATTTTACTCATGATACTAATTAGCGTTACATTATTAAACTTACAACGAATATTCAAGTCGAAAAAATACCACATTAGTCAAAATGCACATAGAGGGATTGAAAGATATCTTGCTGGGCATAAAGCTCACGTTATTACAAATAACGCAATTGACAAGCTAGACAGTGCCAGAACAACATACTAGCATTAAAATCATTGTATTTTGAATCGGATTGATCACTTTTTGCCTATCGTTGCATAATTTGGTTAATTGATTGTAACATTTCCATTGAAAAACTTGAAGCAGAAGCAGAATTTTTTGAAATGGCTACTCCTTATTGCTCGGTATGACTGTACGTTTTGCACGGGAGTAAATTCATCTCATCTGTCACAAGATGCTTCAAGGATAATATACATACAGGGAATAAAATGATTGAAATTTATTGCTAATTACCTATACGTATTAGTTTGTTGCAGAACAGTATGAGCGATGAAAAATAGGCAGTCTGATAGCTCAGTTGCTAAAGTCGCCGCTTTCCGATTTTTTTTTAAAAGGCTTTCATTAAATTTATGCAACAAATTTTTGTATAAATTATTTTAATTAAAGGGAAGGATGATAGTTATAATGTCACAGTGGAAAAAATACTTATTTATGCTTAATTTATACAAATCGACACGCTTTTTAGTGGTAAGTGGAAATTTGAGAATTCACTTCTGTCGGCACTCACTAAGCACCACATTCTTATTTCTTTTATGACCATTTTTAACCTTTACATACTCGAATTTTATTTTTGAAGTTCCCAAATAATAATCAGAAAAAAATAAAAACGAAATCGACAAACTTCAGTTTTTCTGGCACATCTTCGGAATTAACTCTTTAATTAGGCAACTTTTCTCTAATTTGACCATCGTCGTATCTTTTATGGTTTTGGAGATCACCATCGTATGGTGCCGGCTATGTCTATTTTGAATTTCGTGTAATTCGGTTCACAACTAACGAAAATGTCAAAAGGGCCTTGCCTATTTTTTGGCTGATATGACCAATTCACAAACTCCGGTCTACAAATTTGATAAAGAATTCGTCTGCAAAAGTTCATCGTAATTGGTTCAGTCTTTCCCTTTTAATGGTTGGATGTGAAAATCTAGCGAGCGAGCGATAGGGAAAAAGCATAACAGTCTCGTTTAAACAACTGGACGCTAAAAACAAAGAATCTACTTCTATGTAAAAGTGATTCTTATAAAAGGTGTGACTCAACTTTTGGCATTGTGCCTTACATGTTTTTAGTATCGAGAACGCCCTAACTACAACATATTTTTTAGAGAATATTTGGTCTCGCGCCCATATGTCCTCGGGTCCTTATGTCCCGCCCCCATTTGTCCCGCGCCCTTTCGGCGGCGCCCTAATGTCCTAGACCGCATAGATCATATCTATTCTGTGGCATTTGATAACATAACTCATATTGATAACTGTTTTCAGTAATTCTGCCAAAACCAAACAATGCGGAAAGAGAAATTTGTGATAGAGTTCCACAGGAAGGCGAAAAATATTCTTCATTTTTACAAAGAACGGAAAAATTGAATGTATCGAATGCACTTCTAGAAAAGTTACAGAAAGCAAACACGACGAGTAATAGTAACATTGTAGAGCAAGACTCGAAAAAGGTACCCACAAGTGGTAATGAGAAATCTGAAACTTGTCAATCATTTCGATTGAAAGAGGAGTTATTGGAAGCGACCGCAGATGGTTCAAGTGATGTAGATATAAAAACAGATACGTCCGATGACAAAGATTGCGCTACAGACTTGGACGAGTTAAGTTTAGAGGCTCGCCTAGAATTGATGAATCAAAATTCGGGTAAGATGAATTATAAATGGGGAAGCAGGAGAGGTAGAAATATTTTTAAATACAATAAAGGTTTATTACACAAAAGAAGATTAAGGGATATTTCACCAAGTAGCAGTGTGGATACATTCATCGATAAGAAATTGCGAGAAGATAATTTCGGTTCTGGCGATGAATGCAAACGAAGTAGAAGAATGCCAAGGTGGCGAAAGAAATATTTGCCTGCTGGTTTATTTTCAGATTACTTTAAAGAGGATGAGTGAGTCATGGTATGTTTTAATATCTTATCATATTTTAAATTGTTTTAGCAGTATCCATCGTCAAAAAAGAGCCGAGGTCATTACCAAATCAAAAGTTGCATATAACCCGGAAGAACATCCTTATGGATTACTACCTCCACCTTATCATTGCGGGAAATATTTAAGATGTAGAAAGTTTCCTTTCCAACTGCCGTATGATTTGTGGTGGCAACATACCAATTCCCAATTACCCGGACGTGATATTGTACCATCTTGGAACTATCGTAAAATACGAACAAACGTCTACAATGTGAAAACGGCCGTTGGAGCGTGCGAGTCCCAATCTTGCAACTGCACTGCTACGTCACAATGTGGCGATGATTGCATTAATCGTTTAGTGCTGACCGAATGTCCAGCGTTTCATAAGTGCAACAATCAAAAAATCCAGAAGCACGAATGGGCTCCGGGACTTGAAAAGTTTATGACGGCTGACAAGGTAATTGTGATTTTAATTTTCTCAAATATTTTTTTGTTTATGTTATGAATGGTCCTATTTGTACCATTCCTCTAGTTCATATGTTTACTTTTCATGTACACATTCACATTATTAAGATGAAGATTGGTGTTGTCATCGTTTCTGTAGTGTTTTGTTATATCCCTGGAGCTTCGAACATACAACAGTGTACAATATCGTAAGATATCACTAGCGAGTGGTGACCTCATCCAATTTTATTTCTAGTTTAAAATTTTGACCAACTAGTACCTACCTATGCAGGGAACCATCTGTACCTATACCATATTCATTATTTTGGAAAAATAAATTTTTTTCTCGATCTTTTACACCTTTGAATAGTAGATATTTTAAAAAATGTATTATCAACAGTAAGTGGTTCTAAGACCACTTCTTCTTTCAGTTCTCTCGCAGGGGGATTTTTCTTGAAGACTCCTTTGATAGATTTTCACACAATTTTCTATGATTAAATTAGATCCAATTTCTGAAAGCGCATTTCTTAGGTTTTACTTGCTGGGAGGTCCAAATTTGTTATCCTTGGGTTTTTATCATTACGATTGAACTGCGCAATGTTAACTTTGTTATTTATTAATATATTTTGTTGAATTTTTAATCACAGATACTTGTAGTAAAGGCAAATATAACGCATATTGTCAAAATCATATGTGCGCATGCGCAGACTGCGCAATGCCTACTTTCTTATGTATGGAAATATTTCTTTGAAATTTTAACCAAAGATGCGTATATAAAAGCAAACGTATTGCGTATTGTAAATAGCAGATTAATAAGCACATACACAGGACGCGCAATGTCAACTGCGCAGTAAGTGTCAACTTCCTTATTTATGAAGATATTTCTTTAAAATTTTAACCATATATGCCTCTAGTAATGAAAAACATAACGCACATAGGTATGGCCTTTGGGGAAGTATTAATCAATTTATGGAAAATGCGCTGAAGTTACTCGTCTTAGGGCGAAAACCTTTTTACTTGTTTAAAATATGTATGTGTTAATTTAAATAAAATGTGTGATTTTAAATGTTAGTTTGATCGACATCCACATCATGGTTTGCCAACATAATCTCCTACAAACGGTTTTAGTTGGTACCAATGTAAGGAAATTAGTTAGAAATCCAGTTTCTTTTGTAATAGAGCACCAGTCTGTGACTGCTCGACCTTTGTTATTTTATAAAAACTAAAAGTTTCTCGGCGCATACTTCCAACATTCCATTCTATGAATTGCATCTATTAGGGCGCGGGGGAGCCAATTGGCCGCTATAGCCTTCCAAAGATCATACTACACTAGATAGCCAGCGTAAATGCAAGAGTTGTTTCGTGTTTAAGTAGTTCCAGAAAAATATAGGGGGCTTTCAAAGTTAAGAACGTAACTGATTCATCCGAAGCCGTCTTCGTACGAGTTTGAATCATATCATAGATACAAAGAATGGTTATTGTCTAAAGACGAGACATGTACATGACCTACTGAACATTCCTCACGTTGATTATGATAAAACTACATGCGTATACATGGGCGTCATTCAGGAAAAGATAGGTCCTGTTACAGACAGAACGTTAAAATGAAAAACATAATTTGTGAGGATTTACACTTTCCCTTTGTATTTTTTTAACCAACGCCAACAAATAAATTTTCCAAATTTTTTGGATGAAATGATTATATCTTTTTTCTTAGCGTAATTTTGTCAAGGTTTTAGTTTCAGGTACTTACGATACTTTACCTAATCTTTAAATACCTATATACTCAGGCATATTTACATTGCAACCGTACATTTATCTAATTTAGATTTGTTGTAATTAAACATTTTGTGATTAGGTAAACGAGATCCCGCTTAGTCTCCTACGTAATAAAATTGTGCCGAGGTAAAGCGTGTCCGAATTTGCTGAAATCGATCTCATTGAACTTAGTTGGTTTAATAATAATAATATAAACTCCTCCGCGATTCTTTTTTGAAATCAGGCTGGGGGGGGATTATTGATTTTATCTTTCAAGGTATTCGCACTAAAGGTCTCAACGAAAGGAACTGTTTTTAACCTCCTTTCTCCCTTCCCACAAATCAAAATGGGGGGGATTGACTTTATTAAGCGGCAGAGCAAAGCGATGCAAGCTTTATAGGGGAGTTGTTGGTATCCGTCTGTCCGTGAACACGATAACTGTCAAACGCTTGGATCGATTTGGTTCAAACTTTGCACAGTTGACCTATACGTTACAAGTAATAAGCCACTTGAAAATGGGTCAAATCCAATGACCCCGTAGGGTCACACCGAGGTGCTCTGCCGCTTTTTTAAATGCTCTTTATCTTTATGGGTTTATTTTTAATACGTCAGGGTGTCTTGGTTACGCGAAGGTTAAAAGGACAATAAATAACTTCATAAAATTCATAACAAATTGTACCTTTATAAGTATTGAACAAAAAACTGTTAAAATCATGAGTATGATTTCAAATTTTGCAAGTTGAAAATCGGAATTTCTCTATAATAGGATATAGAATGATTAAGGAGCACTTTACGTCGTAGCAACCCCTTGCCAGACATCCTTAAGCTCAATTCACATTATCGGTGACGTCATGGTGCAGTCAATTATTGTAGCATGTATTCCTATGAACATGTTTTAACCGTAACCTGCTCTGACCTGTAAATTCTTAAGTGGCAAGTAACTAAACCAGTACTGTTACAAACATATTTTGGCTATTTTCACTCGACTCTCAGCTACGTGATCCTGTGCTGGGGTCGTTCGGCCTTCGATCCTTACTTTACCATGCCTATATATTCAGAGCTGTTTAATACAGGCGAAAAAAGAATGTTCATTGTATGATTATGGATCCTTACTGCTCAGTCAAAGGAAGAGATGTCCACTATTATATCAAAACATGCTACAATGTGCTACCAAATAAATTCTTTTTAACTATTCTCTTGTGTTTGTCCATAATTTGTTGTTAACTGTTGGGCAATAAAAATAATTATTATTAATAAAACGTTAATTTCCGGTTTCGTTTTGCTTCCCATTTGATATGTGCTGTGAAAAGATGCAGCTAAGATCAACAATATTCTCAATTTGATAAAATTACGTAGTATATTTAATCACAAAATTATGTCTTGTTGACAAAAACTGTTTTTCTATTCACCACAAGTTACGATAAGGTTTTTAGCGCATTTTTTAAGAATTAAAAAAAATGTACTATTGTTTGCGTTTTGTCCGTCCGTCCGTCTAGACCCACTTCTACCGTTTTGAACTACTTTAGGGGAATGGTTCTAGAGTCCTGGAATTTGTTGCAGTAGGAAGCCTATACCTTGAAGGTGTGCCAGACGGTCATTAAATTTCGCTGTCTAAAAGAGGAACCCCCCCACGAATTATTTCCTGAGATGCTGTTTTTGAAAGTAAAACGTGCATAACTTTTACATAGGTCTCGACGAAAGGAATCGTTTTCTCCCAACTACTGCCCTTCTTTCTCTTATCAAAGTACAGGGTGGAACTAGTTTTATCCTTCATGGTACTCTAATAAAAGGTTTCAACAAAAGGAATTAATTTCTACCAACCATACCTCTCTTTCTCGATCTCTTATTGTGATCTATTGTGAAGTATATTCCTTATACCTCAAGAACGGATTCTCGGAAGAGGGTAGGTACTCACAAAGGGCGATTGAAACGTCTGCAAGAAATATATCCATTGGCAATGTCAAAACAAAAGCTATTTCGGTTAAAAAAAAAGTGCTTTATCTGCACAAGACCTGTGCACAAATTATATACTTGTTTTATACCAGCTCTCAGAAGTTGCCTGTTTTTTAGATACTAAATGATGGTTTCATTTGTATTGTATTCTCAGTATTAACATTTGTTAACTTCTTATGTCATCAGCCATCACATACAAACTTGCATTTTTTGTTTCAGGGATGGGGCATAAGAACTAAATTGCCGATACGGTGTAGCGAGTTCATACTAGAGTATGTTGGAGAAGTAGTTGCTGATCATGAATTTAAAGAAAGAATGGCTTTAAGGTATGCGCATGACATACACCACTATTGTCTCCACTTGGACGGTGGGTATGTCATTGATGGTCACAGAATGGGAGGCGATGGACGGTTTGTGAATCATTCCTGTGAGCCAAACTGTGAAATGCAGAAATGGTCAGTGAATGGGCAATTTCGAATGGCGTTGTTTGCTTTACGTGACATCGAAGCGGACGAAGAAATTACTTACGACTATAATTTTTCGCTTTTTAATGCTGCCGAAGGTCAAGAGTGTAAATGTGGCAGTTCAATTTGTAGGGGCGTAATCGGCGGAAAGTCGCAACGTGTGCGTCACAGCATCTCGAGTACTAATTCCAGTATTTCAAATGACAAGACGGGAAGAGTGGGTCGACCTAGAAAAAATCAAGCCAAGCGTAGCGCAAGTGGCCCCAGAGAATTGCCTACCGCTCCTGTGCAAACACCAGTAGCCCCTACGCCGCTTATGAAACCTTTGAGTATTTCACAGAAAACGTATGTTCGCGACCATCACTGTTTCCTGGTACGAAACTTACATAAGGGCAAACATACTCGTGACAGATCACTATGCAGTCTCCCGCAAGTGAATTCTTGCACTCCCGGTGATCATAATCCAACGACTTTTATGAACCACTTGAACGCATTGAGGCAGCCACGCAATATGAGAACTAGGAGACTAGCACAAGCCGAAGATGATCCCAAACTCAAAAAAATGGCGCAATTGGCAAGCATCTTAAAAGATTTCCTGAAAGCAATTACCACCGCAAAAGGTATGTCAAAAAATATAAAAGGATTTTAATAGTTGTATGGATTTTAGATGAAAAAAATGAATTATTATGCTCGTCATTTCTGAATTTACCGTCAAAGCGAAAATTACCCGAGTATTATCAACGCATAACCGATCCTATTGATGTGTCAACCATTGAACAAAATGTGGCAACTGGAGTATATTGTTCAGTGGAAAATTTCGATGCAGATATGAACAAAGTATTTATTAACGCCGTCCGTTTTTTTGGTCGTACCTCTGAACCGGGAATCGCGGCAACAAGATTAAAAAAGATATATTTTGATATGAAACAAGAGAGTCTTTCAAAATTAGAAGAAATTATTGGGGAAAAATTGCCTAGTAATTTTATTCCGAGCAAAAGAAAGAACGAGGAGGAAGACGTTATTCGTTGTATTTGCGGAATGTACAAAGATGAAGGCTTGATGATTCAGTGCGAAAGGTGTTTAGTATGGCAACATTGCGAATGTGTTCAAGCAGATGTAAACGCAGAAAGTTATCATTGCGAAGTTTGCGTTCCTAGACTGGTCGACTATGAGATTGCTCTAGACGAGTTTACGGAGCACGGTCATAGGTATGAATTGCGATCCTCCCATTTTGTTCACTAATCTGTATTTTTAGATATTATTTAACGTTATTGCGAGGCAATTTACAATTACGGCAAGGTGATACTGTTTATATGTTGCGTGATATACCGATATTTGGAACTGACCGAAAACATACATACGAAACAATTGGAGAGATTAAGTACAGTGACTTGGACATATTTAGGATAGAAAGGTTATGGAAAGATAGTAAAACGGGCCAACGTTTTGCTTATGGACATCATTACTTAAGACCTCATGAAACTTTTCATGAACCTACCAGAAAGTAAGTGGTTAGTCAATTACTTGGGACAGCTTTATGAATTTCTTGTATTTAAAAACAACCAAACAGAAAAGTAGTTTCCAGTAACTATCTCATTTTTGTCAATTTGAAGTGATGAAATCTTTGAAACAAAACATTCGTGTGGGTTAAGATATACACTGTGTCCAATGACAATGGTCAAATTAGGTTATGATGTTATTTGCCATTGCCATCAATCATCAACTTTATTTTTTTATATGACTTGTAAAAAAAGTACATATTTCCAGAAATAATGCAAAATTCGCTTGGAAATATTTGCGCCTCACAACACTAGTGTGGTTAATTTTTTTTTCGACTGACTGGTTGTCAAGTAAATAAACGTTTTTCCGTACAGGGTCAATCCAATTCAAATCGCCCAGGCAGAGTTGCTGAACATTTTTTATTTTCCTAGTTTTCAAGTCATGGGTTCCCTATAGGTAGGCAATCACAAACCACTATTTGAAAAAATATTATAAGCCATAGTTTTTTCTGGCAGCCATTTTTAAAATGGCAGTTGGGCAAATTTGACGGAAAAATGGGATTTACGGAAAGTGTCATTGCCAAGTTATTTTTTAAGATATCAAAATAATTCAAAGACCCCTGTGTTCAGCATGAAATTATCTAAAACTTACATTATTGTAATTTCCCGATCATGCAAGAAAGTCAGTTAGAACCATTGTCAAAAAAATAAAAAACAAACTAGTGACTCGTTACCTTTTAAAGCCACACATTTTTAGGAAGGAGAAGTGACTCACTAATAATATATTATTACTGTGTTGAGTACTTATAATACTGCCTGTAGCAATAGTTTCAGTCTTGCACTCCTTTTTTTTCTATGGCTTTCCAAAAATGGCCGAAAGTATGGTACAGTCAATTTCTTCGGTCAATATCTGAAAAGGGACTGAATGAAAACAAGTGAAAATTTTACAGAAAATTTCACACCAACCATTTTCAACCAATGAAATGCAAATTTCGTCTCATGTTATCATGGTAACCGAGGTATTTATCGGAAATTTTTGCCTGCAGGGGTAACCTAGAGCGAATTATAGTGGAAATTTTTTGACGTCATAAGAGAACGTTTTGACATAAAACGTCACTTACCCGAGTTATAAAAAAGCATTCTAGCAGAAATAAACACAATTGGGTAGATATTAAATCCATAATCTTCTATAATCATTCCCAATTCCTCCACAGATATGTTTTCCATATCGAATACCTACATAACTTTTTCAGAGCAAAAGTTATTTTTTTCAAAAATGCTGAGCAACAAATTATATTTATATAATTATATTTATATATATTGATTTCAAGTGGATTGACCCTACAATGTGTATTTGCACAGATTTAAATATACTACAGATGGGTCATGAGATACGCGATTGTGGAAACATAACAAACGTTCAAGTTACTAGCGCACCTATATGCATTTTATTAAATCGAAAGCTTTAGTTTGCGTCTCAGCTTAAAATAATCAACAGGAGTCTGTATAATGATGGTATAGAAGGTTTTTACTATTGATGGTGCTGAAACCGTAATTAAAACAATGGGTCTTTGTATTGTGTGTTTGTGTTCAATTACGACCTTGTGTGGGCGTTTCTGTGGCCGTTCTCTCTCCTTTAATTTAAATTAATAAAATCCAAGAACAGTTACGGAATTTTTTTCTATAGAATGATAGTTTCAGTTTCAGTCTGAAAATTAAAATTCTGTAATCAACTACTATGAATCGAAAGTTTTGATATGTCTATATGTTCATTCAAGGCATCGCCAAATGAAATTAAAACCAGGTGTCAAATTTTTGCAGAACAGCTTTTTATAACCACTCGAAAAATTCACTCGGTATCTTTTTGTTTATTTTAACTTAATTTTACTACCCTTCTAATGATATAATAATAATAATAATAAATGTCTTTATTAGGCAGTTGTACAAAGTAAATATTTAAATAATATGTACTATATTAAAGCTAACTGCCTAAGGGCGGAGTTCAGTCAATCATAAAGCATGCTATAAGCACGCCCTATTTACCTTTTATACATATTTTTGTAATTCAACCATTTCTAATATGTTTCTCGATTTTCAAAGCCTTTCAGTAATTAATAGGCCGTCAAAAGTTATAAACACCTATTCTAATTATAAAACAGGGAGTTAGATTTAAAAAAGTGCAACTTTTATATAAATCACCCTGTATAACAATTGCAATTTCATTGAAAATATTTTTAGGTTGTAGCCTGAAGAGTCCTTCAATATGCCCCGACAATGAATTTTAAATATTCTTTTCAAATCCTAGGTGTTAGTAACTGCGCACTAAGCTGCTATATTTCGGAGAATTTAATATATATTTTTTTGTAATAAAACCAAATTTGTGTAGGTTAACCAAGAAAAATAATCTCTTTCAAATAACTAAATAAAAAATTTAGCGCTATTATGTATTTGAAAAAAAAAAGTTTATTTTATTATTACCTAGCATAATTTGTGTAGGTTGTACACAGAAAAAGAAAGTCTTCCGAATAATTTAATAAAAATTTTGCGTTATTGGTATTTAAAAAAAATAGTATTACGGCACGGCGCTAAAAACTCATTAAAAAAAGTGTTTGATAGTTTTACATCCTTTATGCCTAATCTGCATTTGCAAAATCAAAGTAGGTAACTGTTTTGGCGACAAAGAATATTTGCCAACGTATGTACGTACATAGGTACATACCATGATACAATAAATTTAAATTCTATATTACCAATTTATCTAGCAATAAAGAACAATAATTCAATATATTTTTATCTTATCAAATACCGTTGTTGAATCTAGTAAATTATAACTTGTGTACCTACATAATTCAATATTTTATATTAGTCATTTCGTTTTTAATATCCCCTCCACAATGTTTAGATACTTTAGCATAAGTAGGTATCTTACCATATTATGGAAAACGCCTGCATTTCCTTTTTTATGGTGCACTTAATTATAGCTTATAGCATTTTTAAAGATGGTCTTTAACGATCTCTTGATATTTTTCGGCATATTTTGCGTTTAGGTTTTATAATTTCAACTCTCTTTTTCCCCTAAACCATTATAATTAAAAAATTTTAGTATTTGTAGAATTAAGAAAAAAAATCCGGCTTTAAATTCAAATTTTATCACCGCGTGACGTCATGCGCGAACTGGACGAATTTGGAACGGCAATCTAGCATATCTTGTTTTATTTATATCATGGGTACATACGAGCTAAAACAGACAGTAAAAATTTTTATTCTTTAAAAGTTGCTTAAAATGATCTAAAACGTTGACGATTGATGAAATTTTGATACGTCCAAAAACGGAAATCGCAATATAGCCACCTAGCTCAGGCTACGAAGATCAAAATGTGCTAATAACCCCACGCTTTTTGACAACCCGTACGGATTTACTACTATCTCAAAATACAGTGAGTTTTTTTTTTAATGCGAACATAGGAGTTTGCATGTAATGTAATTTCCCTATGTTCTATTTAAAAAAAACACATCAATCTATGAGGTGTGCGCGGTTCACATTCCCACCAGCAAAAGGCGCAACTTGTGTGACTATGAACAGCAACTCTAGTTTTTATGATGAAGAGCAGTAGGTAAGGTTTTTTTAAAGAAGCCGTGTGAGGCCATAGCAACTTTAGGATAAATTTTTCTTAAACTTACGATAACTTGAGGTCACAGGTCACGCGCTGACACCACAACTCATTGTGAACCAACCTTCATTTATTTGTAGGTCATGTGCACCTGGTATTCTACTAATTTGATCTATTCAATACATAAATGAAGAAAATAAGAAAATAAATAACGAAAACAACTACAATAAATGTTCGAAGTGTCCTCCTTGACATTCTAAGCAATAACCTAACCGATTTCGTAATTAAATTGGACGGCGGTATTTTTAAAAATGTGACAGCTGTCAATTGTATCTACTACTCATTTGAACTACTCAATAGATTGATGTGTTTTTTTTTAAATCGAACATAGGGAAATTACATTACATGCAAACTCCTATGTTCGCATTTAAAAAAAATTCATTGTATATCGAAGTACTTTCTTCACTATTTTGTTCCGCATTCCAAGAACAGAATGGTTCCACGTACATATCATGGAAATTGTAACGGGGGTCTACTGCGGTACTTTCCCAATATAGGGTCTCAACTGGGATGCGACATTTTCGATCTCACAGACATTTGGTGTCTGCGTCTCTTTTAGGAGAAAAATAATGAAACCAAAATTAGTTTTTGAAAATTTGAATTTTAACTGCAATTCTGGACTGGACAATAAGTGGCACGAATGTTTGAAGATGTATGTAGGCCTACTGTAGTTTTTAGCTCATTTTTGCAAATTCATTTGTTCTTAATAAAAGCTTTTCATATCACTTTGCCCCAGCTGACTGGCTGGTTGGATGGCTGCCTGGCTGGCAGCAAATGAGGGCCTGTAAACAAACGCATGTAGAAAGACGAGTGTGTACGTGTACATACGGGGTCATGTACTTAACTTTAGGGACGGGGCTACATGATGTGGGGTCGGCGACAGCTGGGCGCCATCTCCACGCGTGGTTTACTAACGTGGTCATTTTTAGTTTTTCCTATCTTCTTCTACAGTTTTGGTCGAGGTCGAACCCATAATCGCACGTCAAGATACAATTTTACAAGTCGTACAACAAAATCGTATAATGCGAATCTTGAAATATTTGGTTATGGCAACTCGCAAGAGAAATCATAATCAAAATCACATAACGTAAATTGCACTTGTAGGAATCCCCCATTTACACGCTTCTAACTTGTAATTGAACTGACTACAAATTTTTTTTAAGTTTCGTCAATAAATTACCAGTGGAACGAAGAAGAAAAAATAACTTTTTGTCTCATAGGCATAGCCAAATTATCCCTTAGAGCTTTGGGTGATTAATTTAACAGCCTCAATTGCTCATATGCTTTGTGCCTCGATCTTTAACAGGGCTGCGCGTGTAGAAAAAGCAACCAAA